GGGAGAGAGGGAGAGAGAGAGAGAGAGAGAGAGAGAGGTAACTTGTTGGTTGTTATACAGACACGCTTTGAATATCAACTATATACATAATTACAAATATAGACCGTATGGAGATATTCCCCCTGTATCAAGAACTTTGAGGGCGCGAAGGTTAGCTGACATTGCAGAGAAGTAAAAATAAAGTTATTTCAAGCAAGACGGACCGACTAAATACATCAATCAATTAGAAAAAGATCTAAACACACAGCGGCAGTACATTCCACAACTTATTGAAAACAAAGATTTTGTGGAGAACAGTCATAAAAAACGTTTTAACTTTGCTCATCATTAACCGCGCGTGCCCGATAAAGAGAGAGACAAGGAAGATATTACTGCAATGCGGCGTATCCGAATGTAGGGGGGGGGGGAGGTGTGCTCAGGGTGCCTGAGATTGAAAAGAAAATATAAAGTGCCCCTTTTTAAATGTTAAAAAATAACGGACATAAATTGTAATCATTAAAGTGCCATTTCCGGCATCTAAAAGTCCCCAATTCTTGAAGTTTTCTCACCTCAGCCTCATCCATGATGGGGCTCAGGTGGATATAGTAATTTTCGTAGTGTTATGTATTAAAGTGCCATCTTCCGGCATCTGCAAGTTCCACATTCTTGCAATTGTCTTACCTGAGCCTCAATCATGGTGGACTGGGGTGGATGGATTGCTAGTTTTTATAATTTTTAAGTATCCATGCGCCGTTTTCGGGCATCTATAAAGTATCAAATTCTTAAAATTTACTCATCTCCCCCACTCCCCCACCCCTTGCAAAAAAAAAATAACATGGTGGGGCTCAGGTAAATATATATCGTAATTTTTTCAAGTACTATTTTGGGGCATCTATACGAGTCTCAGACTTTTCTATTTATTTATTTATTTGTTTATTTGTTTGTTTGTTTGTTTGTTTATTAATTAATTAATTAATTAATTAATTAATTAATTAATTTATTCATTCATTCATTCATTTATTTATTTATTTATTTATTTATTTATTTATTTATACCACACCAACAGCGATATATCGCCACTTACATGATGGATAAAATATAACAATAATGAAATATATGTAGAATTAAAATCCATGTTTTTCACTTTATTTTTATTGCCTTTTGGTGTCAGCAAAAAATGATTTCACTTTAAGTCTAGTTGAGAACATTTTCATGGGGGTTGGGGCCCGATTAGAGTGCAATTTTTTTGGTGGGAGATGGGTTTAGGGGGAACGTAGCGCATCCCCCTATAGGTATAATGAAATTGATTTGAAATAATTGTTAACATACCGGAACTTGAGCAATGACACGAACATCACCGTTCAGCAAGGTACCTGTAATTGCTGACACAAGTGTTACCTCGTCGTAGTAACTTTCGCACAATCTGGCAGTATCAGTATCACGCCTTAATCTTGGAGTGGATACATCACTTAAAAAGAGGAAATAATTAACACTTACTTTTAATCAACACTTAATTGCATTTTAATAGATTAAATTTTAAACGATAAATATTATAAACAATTATTTATTTTAAAATGTATATTTTTAATAAATTAAATTAACAGAATAAATTTGAAACAATATAGACCTATATGTTTTAACTAATTTTCAAAACGTAATTAATAATAAATTAAATTAAAAAAATTAATTCATGTGATAAGTTCAAGATAGATATCTAAAGAATTGAATTACCTTTCATTTGCTTGCTTAAAAAATGAAGGGTATTTGATTAGCAGGTACTCTATCTGCCCTTCAGTCAGATTTGTCACTGGCGTTGTACGGTTGTAAACTACTTCATTTCGCTCCAAGTAAGTAAGGTTTTGCAGAGAATTTTTAAATTCTTTGATAGCCGCTATTTGAAAATTGTGCAAAGGAATGGAACACACGCATACATCCGGGTGACATGAATTACTTGTGGCTCCTGCTAATAAAAGAGATACAAATATCATAATTGGTAAAACTAAAGTCATGTTGCAAGAGCATGCGTCTGGTTAAGGTACAGTCCGTTTTCTGCTGCAAAAATGCTGGGTCGAAAACTAAGATTTGTTTACGAAGTTATACAGTATATCACAATGTACAACGTAACACGGCACGGTTAATAATAAATCAGTCTAAACTTCTATGCCTTTTCATGAGCTCACAGAACCGTTCGATTTCACATTCTGAACAATAATAACAGTTATTATGTGCGTATTATGCATGCCTACTTAAATTTAAACGGAGCGAAGTCATTGTGACGACGTTTCGAAACCGTGACGTGAAAATACAGGTTTTGATAAGTTGGGTGTGACGATGATCGTAAGCAGTGGTGGTGGCTTTAGAAATTTGCCGTCAGCGGGCCCGTACGACATGTCCGACAAGGCGCCCGGCATGTCCGACAAAGGGTCGACTAGAGTCAGGGTCACTGTCGGGGCGCCACTACTTAGTGAGGTATATGGTACATGATATCGTCGAAGCATGCCAGTGTGGCGCTCTAACACATTTTGATAATTATCTATTAAATTATACTCAGTGGAGGATGATGTGACATTTAAATATGGTGATAATTTTATGGCTGCAAATTTTGTTATCATTTAAATGAGCGATTTTTATTTTCGTAAAATACTAGGCCTACTGTAGGCTTACATGGCTTAATAAATTGCACTTATTTTTAGGAGACTTAGGAAGACGTATTTATAGAGCCTACAAGACTAGACATAGGCCTACCAAATTTGAAATGAATTGCCGTAACTTTTATTTACTGTCAGCGCAACAGTACAATAACACATAAAACATTCGAGTATAAAAATAGATAACTATATATAGAACCATCTCTTTTAAAAAGTTCATTAAAATGTAAAATTACAAAAGCTAAGAACAATAATGCATAACATAAAAAACTTTATAAAATTAATTAGCAATAAAATGGCAAAAAAGGGGGAAAACAAGCAAAAGATCATTACAAAAGGATAAAATTAACTTTTTAAAATGAAGTTTATATAGAAGCACCACAATCACAAATTTTCTTACCTCAGCCCCAACCATGGTGGGGCTGAGGTGGTATAGATCCTCCATCTGTGAAAGTACCCCCCGGGCCCCCTCTTTTGAATTCCTGGATCCGCCACTGTATGTATACATCCCATGGCGGTATATTCAGGCCCGTATCCAAGAGGTTTCTCTGGGCGTGGGGTTCAGGAACGCAGCCCCTGTGGGGTCAGCAAAACCCCCGAAGCCAGAGGAGTTTTGGGTTTTATGGGTGTAAATAATCCCATAAAAGCATATGTTTGGAAAAGGTCTGCAGCAAAACATTCCGTCTGAGTCTGGGTGGGTCTGCTGTGTTTAGTTGGGTTTGAGACTATTCGGGAATTTCAAGGAGGGGGATTTCGCCATTGAAAAGAGGGAAGTTTGCTACAAAAGGGGGTTTGCCCGAACTATAACCCCCCCCCCTCACCCTGGCTACAGGGACGATATTATAGCTATACCTCCGTGATTCTATCAAATCAGCAGTGACGCAACTAGTCAGACGAGTTCCGCCCCCTTTAGAAACTGGCCGGCTGGAATGCACTCCGATGCGTGACGTCAGATGAGAAACACATTTTAATGGAGGGACTACTGGAGCACGTAATAGCAAGAATGCACCTAATTTCAAACGCAAGACACTACTCAATCTTTGCAAGACACGCTGGGCGGAGGAAGTGCTTACGATCACTTCTACGATTCCTACCCTTGGTGACTGCATTTGAAATTATTGCACACGGGTTGCATGAAGATGCACTTGATGACGAATTCAAATCGGCATATGGGATGGGAAATCAAAGCAAGACGCTACCGCTCTCCTTTCTTAAATAACCTCATTCAATTTTATAGTTACATTTTCGATTGTTTACTCTTCCCTTGCTCATTTGGCCGACATCACAGTAAAATTACAAAACTCATCACTGGACATCTAGGAATATCGGACTCGGAACTGGGCTGCAAACAACCGTCAGCAAATTGCTGGGTCCAGTGGCGACTCTAGGTCTTTATGATATAATTTATGGGGCGGGGGCTAAGATGTCCGACTGGGGGACTAAGTATTTATGGGTGTAACTACAGCGAGTAGCGTTATCTGAGGGCCGAAGAGAAGAAGAAGAAGAGTCTTCTCCTCCGAAAACGAGATTTTTTAAAAAGAAATTAGGACTTCTAGGAGGCCGGAAATAGCTGGGATGGGAAGACTAGGCCTATTTTTTTTTTTTGGTCCGACTGCCGACCAATGTTTTGGCATCATAAGATGTAATCGTATCTAAATTGTTAACCAGATCGAGTTTCCTAGTCCTAATATCGTACTTTGATTGAAAAAATATTAAAAATTATTTTTGTATTTTCAGATTGACAATAAATTAAATGTATTAAACTTCCGAATTTACTATCAATCATTTGTTTTATTCTTGCATTAATTCAAATACAAGGCCCATTCAAAGGCTGAATCCCGAGGCCATACAAGTCAATGGAGGGTCGTGTGTCGAACCATTTAACTATTCAAACTAGGTCCCTAACCATGCAACAGAGCAGCTGATCACTGAGGCTGACAGACTTGACAATAGCGCATGCGCAAAATATGTTCTATAT